GTCTTCTGGCAGAGAGAAGCAACGTAAAAAATAAGGGTGGAGAAAAAACTGAAAAATTCTTTCAGCGCAAAGCGAATTACCTTCGGAAAAGATCACTGGCGCTCCTAATCGAGGTCGAGCTGTGGTCTGTTTTCGCCATACCGTTCACAATTTCAGTCAGCTCCTTATTCAACTCATTTACGGTGGTAGCTGAAAGAAGACGATTTTTGGTATCACGAAGTACTTTCAATCGAAAAAAGGCGCTGTTGTGCTTAAGGAAGAGGCGGGGGGGGGGCGCATTTTGCACTTTCGCTAGTTTCTTCTGCTAATTCCAGCGAAAGTACACCTTGGTGGGACTTGTAGATTTTTGTCAAGTACTAACGGAGCTTCTGCTATTTCACAGCCCTACAGAAATCTACACGTCCCCATAGAAAGGATCAACAGTCAATGGGAACCAGTAGAATGCCCCCACCAAGCCGAACTGCCCCGGCAAAACTCTGAAATGAAATCAAGCAAACGACAAATCCACTATAAGTTTTTAAGGAATTTAAAAATCGATAAACGATTACCATTAGTCTAACTGGGTGGTTGGAAGATAGGGCATAAGGAAAGGGAGTAGCATGGAAGTAGCAATTAGGAAAGGCTTGCAAGAATAATACCGCTACTATAATACTATAATACTACTTCTAAATACTATACTGAATACTATAATACTACTTCTCTCTCCTTTCTGGGAATACTTGACTTCAATGGAATAGCAGCCCCTGTAAGAGAACTCACGACTTCTGCTCCGTCTACTGACCTCAGTTTCGTGAGGAAAAAGATGAGAATTCTCTTTCATGCTTGGAAAAATGATCCAACCTTCTCGGGAATACTAACCACCCCTGAGAAAAAGTAGCTCTCAACATTTTTAACCCAGAAAAGGATGAGGGTCAATGAGTCAAATGAACAATTTTAATCGAAAATATCAGAAAAAAACAAACATTACCGTTGCTGTTCTCGAGTGCCGTCAACAATGTTTCGATCGCCGCTAAACCCGTTGATTTCATCGGATCCTCGGCTAGAAGCTGTGAAAATCCTACCGCCGTACCTAGCTGAGCCGGTGCAGGAGTCATTGCTGATTTGAAGACTTTAGTTTCTGGCACGAGTTCTTCTACCCTGTAACCAACGAACTAGATAGCATAAGACATGAAAATGTACAGCAAACGAAATTCAGCATAATACTTAATCCCGTCACTGATAGCTGAGTCCTGTGCTCCCCTGACAAGTTATTTTTCCACAGTTTGAGATCCCCTACTGCGCAAAAAAAATGGATCACCCACTGCAGCTCCTTCCCCGTAGGCTTTGGGAGAAAATTTCGTTCTAACCTCGTGTCCATTAGAAAGTTTTGGATACCCTGCATTAAAATGCTCCACCTTACTGGCATAACACCCACAAACTTGCGGTTAAAGAAAATTTTCGCAGAAGACGATCCCATCGAAATTTCCGCCTTTGGTTTACGACCCCATCTCCATCTCCGTCCTACCTATCTTACTATACTTTCCCAACATTCTACCATGAAATGGAGGATTTTTCTGAAAATCCCTTCCACTTGTCCCCCCCCCCAAAAAAAAAAGCCGCCCATTTGGAAAAACGACCAGACGCGGCAAAAAGAGGTGGGGGAGTAAACGCTGTATCCTAATTAGTTTAGAGATTTCATGGACCTGGAAGTCACAACCCAAAGAAAGCCCAAGATCGGATCATTTCCACGGTTACACTGTAATTCTTTCGGTAACTTGAATAGAAAAAAAACTGGAAGCAAGGATTTAAAGCTCTAAAAGCAAATGTGGAATTCACCTCAACGAAACATTTACAATTCATGAACTACGTCGATAGAATGGCAGCAGTACTCACCAAATTGATGCTTCCGTAAGATTAGCAGCTTCAGTGGAGTTTACGACATTTGGTGCAACATGCCTCGGGTCAGGGTATGAAGTGACGTTAGGTGACGGTCCTTGTCGATACGTGCTGAAAAATTTGTTGAAGTGACACAAATCATTTGCTTATAGCTGTAGGAACTATTCCTCCAGTATTGAGATGGTAAGACGCAGAAATGCAGTGTTGTTTGCTGCAGATACTGGAGCG